AACACCTGCACCGTTGAGGCCAGTGACCCCAGTGGAACCAGCAACCAGACCCAGCATAAAGGACTTTTTACTTTTTTATTTAAAAAATGTCCCCTATGTTACAAGCCAAGAGAGAAAAAACCAACCGGAAAACTGTTAAACGCCAGTATGGCGAAAGTTTGACCAGTTTTGAGTACATTCATTCAAAGAATAACAGAGGAGGAGGAGGAGAAGAAGAAAAGGAAAAAAGGAAAAGGAAAAGGAAAAGGAAGGCCTTCTGTTCCCACCAGAACCAAGGCAAAGAAAACAACAGTTGTGGACTCCGTTTCAGAGTCTGAAATTGATGACGATAGTCGCGAGAAGTTCAGAGAAGGACTGTGCTGCCTCAAAGATGCCAGAAAGACAGTGGTGATGATGACAGTGATAGTAGTGACTAGTGACAAACCCGCAGGAAACCAGAGAAATGTTTTTGAAAAGTTTTGTCATTCATTGAAGTATGTTGGACATGTTTGATCAGAATTTTGTAGGTGGGTGGAATTTCCACGATTAAAGTGTTTACAATTTTTTTGGGTTAAAACTCTATTTCTTGAATAGGATTAGTCAGAATTGTCTAATGTTATGTTTATGTTGAATGTTATGTTCAGAGTATAATTTGTTGCAAATTCTAGTCAGATATCACAATTAGGTAGTGCATGAGAGTGATTTAAGCAAAGTTGTGGGTGGAATTGCCCCGGTTCACCCCTACTAGTTTCACCTGGTATTTACGAGCCATGAGCCCTCTGGCTTCACTTTGTTACACTCCCATTATATTTGCTTACGAAGACCGGAAAATTCTCTTCTCTAGTAACTTATCTCCTTTCACCTCCTTTCCTGCTCTCTTACAATATTCTGTCTTTTGCTTTCGTCTTCACCTTCTGCCCCCACTCCCTAACCTCCTTTGCCCCCTCCTCTGGGCTACTGACTCTTTCTGCAGCCTTTCCACTGCTTCTCCTTTGCTCCTTCTTACTGCTGTCTTTCAACTACACCACTGATTTTATGGTAGGAAAGATCTACACCTAGCCTTCTCTGACAAAAACGAAAAATCTCGGACGTCTCGTGTGTAAGTTGGGCCTGTAAAAGATTGTTTAGATCTAGTGGTCCAAAATTGATAAGATTTAGCGTTTTCTCTACACTCTCCTCGCACTTTCTCTGCGCTTTTCTTACTCTTTCTCTAAACTTGTCTCTCTCTTTCTCTACACTTATCCCGCACTTAATTATGTTTTTAAGTCTCAAAACTTCCAACCCCCAGTTCCCATGAAAAACTGAACACATGTTTTATTCGTCAGGTTGACATTTTTTCTTTATTTTTTTCCCCTTCAAAATCAATACCACTATCTTCGCTCGATACGCCTCTAGATAAGAAGAAAGCACGTTTCATACATGCCATTGCTGCTAGACCGATAGCTGCCTTTATGAAAGCCCTTTTCAATAACTTCTTTTGAAAACGAAAATATGGCTATTGGTACTGCCTTGAATAATCAATAATTCTTTAGAGACTTCTACATAAAGAGTTCCCTTATCTCTCTCTCTCTCTCT